CCAGAGTGCAGAATCAAGTACACAGTATCAACACATTACAGTACCAAGTCAGTCTGACATCTCATCTACATTTCACTAATTCAAAAGTCTGAATCGTATTATCAAATCATCAAGTTAGATTTGGACAAGACTCTTGTCATTCCTGATGCAGCAATCCTCCCCATCTCTGGACCCATGACAAAAATAAAATGTAAGAATGCCACAGTATAACAAGTACAGATGTGTCCATTTAAAAATAGAGAAAATGGAAAGAAAAAAGTCACTGGCTCTGTGATGGCTTGTGCTAATTATTAACTTGTCAAAACATAGAACTACCTGGAAGAGGGACCTTTGGGTACATCTGTGGGGAATTATTTTGGACCTTCCCACTGTGGGTGACATCATTCCCTTGGCAGGGGATCCTGGACTGTATATAAGTAAAATTAAAAAAAAAAAAAAAAAGGCAAGCTGAATCCTAGGCGTGAATTTGTTCCTTGTTGTTTTCTTCTCTAACTATGGATGTAATGTCACCAGCTCCCTCAGGCTCCTGCTGCTGTGACTTTCTTGTCCTAATGGACTGTAACCTGCAACTTTGAACTTTAAAAATAACAGACTAGCTCAATCAAATTCCTGTTGCTTTGATATCCTAGCAATAACATTATTGTAAGACAAATAAACTGGTTGTCCCTTAAGTTGCCTTTTCAGGGTATTTTATCACAGTAACGGGAAAAGACACTAAGATAGGCCCTAAACAACTTAAAATCTAGCCAGGAAAAGTTCTTAAGCAGAAATCTAATAGTTCTCAGTGGCACTCTTCAGATCTGCCCATGCAGCTAGCCACTTCTACTTGACCATAAAGTACAGCTAACATGTACTCAAAACTAAACAGGTCTATTAGCCTATTTCCTACATGCTGAGTTCAGAAGTGTTGAAAGTTTCTTTCACTTTGTCCTCTCTGTGTACCTTCGAGTCAAAGTCATAGTGTTTCTGCTGGCATAACATACTCAAGCATCTTGTGGGTCTACCATATAAGTACAAAGACTTGCTGGTTTTAGACAAAGGCTAAACCACAGATCTGGCCTTGATAATCTCATCTCTATTTTCAGCTTCTGCTTAAGGGCTAAGGGTATCATGAGCCTCATGGGTGACCTCTTTAGTGTTCCAAATGAAGACTCTGACCTTTTGATCTAATTTTTCAGCACTGACTCCTTTCACTGTTCCTCTGTAGCACACTTTCATGACAGTAACTCTCTTAGTGTTAGCACCCTATGTCCTTTAGACATAATTATCAAGTCCTAAGCTTTTGGTATTTTGTTGTTGTTATTATTTCTTTGGGTTTGTGGTGGTTGTTTTTGAGACAGGATCTCATGTAGCCTAGGCTGGCCTCAAACTTCCTATATTGCAAAAATGCCTTGAACTCCCAATTCTCCCATCTTTACCTCCCAAATCCTATCTAAAGAAAGCCCGTTCCTTTTAAACAGGTCTCTTCTCAATTTACCTATTTTCAAATTTTACTAAACACATAAAAAGAAATCAGAATGCATCTTCAACATTGCTTGGAAATCTCATCAGTTAAAACCTAAGTTTATTTATTATAAGCCACATTTCCCGAATAATCACAGAACTTGACTTGCTAAGCTTCCTGCCACTATAATAGAACACTCCCCTCCTACACTTTCCAGCTTCATTTTCCAATGATCCCTCACTACCCGAATCTTTAACACCTATGTTTCCATTAACAATCTATTCATGGTGATTTTTAGAAATTCTTTAAGGTGATTGTTTTCTATCCTGCTTCTGTAACTTCTGATTCTTGCCAGTGATTGAAATCCATGTTTCCACTAACAGTCTGGGGCACTGGTTCTCAACTTCCTAATGCTGCAACCCTTTTATACAGTTCCTCATGTTGTAATGAACCCCAACCATGACATTATTTTTGTTGCTGTTTTATAACTGTAATCTTGCTACTGTTATGAATTGTAATATAACTATCTGTGTTTTCTAATGGTCTTAGATGACCCCAAAAGGGACCATGACCCACAACCTAAGACTCACTAATCTAGAGTTTTCCTAACCTATCTTCAAAGTTCCAAAACTACTTTTGGATTTTCTGTTATAGCAGTAACAGAAAAAGATGTCCCTAATCTGTTATTACTTTTTTTACTCTACTACTGCTATAACAAAATATCACAAAGTTAGAGGGGCAGAGTAACATTCATTTTATGTTGTAGTTTGTTTACAGTTAGATGAGTTGATGTCTCAAACAGGTCTTACTGGGCTATATTTTTAAAGCTATAGGGGTTCCTGGGTTTGAGTATGACCTGGAAAGGTCCAGATGCTGGCAGCTTAGAGGCCACCAGTGTGGAGGTGGTGGAGCCTATACCAGGTGTGACCCAGTAAAAGGTGTACTTAAGTAACTGGGGACACTGCCCCCACAAGGAATTATTATGAGTTCTCTGAGGACATGGCTATTTCTATGAAATCAAGTTGTTATAAAACAACAACAACAAAACCCAGAAATACTGACTCGATAAATCCCTCTGATTTCTGGTCTTAGCACTGGATCTTATATACATCCCTCCCATTATGATGCTGGATTATATTACAATCCATGCAGTCCTCAGCAAAGGCCAATGAGATGGAGCTATTCAAGTGTGGTAATTTGAGTAAGAAATGTCCTCCATTGGTTCATGTATGTGCTTGAACACTTGGTCCCTCACTGGTAGTGCTATTTAAGAAAGTTATGGAACCTTTAAGAGGTGAAGCCTTGCCAAAGGAAGTGGGTCACTGGGAGCAACAGCCCTTGAGGCCTTATAGGCCAGCCCATTTCCTTTTTCCTGTCAGCTTCTTGAATGTGGATGAAGTGTAATCAGCCAGCCCCCAGCTCCTGCCACATGCCTTCCCTGCCTGCAGCTCTATCTCCCCACCAAGATAGATTACAACTGTCTGAAACTGTGAGCCAAAACAAACCTTTCTCCCTTCAGCTGCTCTTGACAGGGTATTTTATCATAGCAACAGAACAAAGACACCAGTCTTGAACTTTTAGCCACAAATGAACTAAACAAACCTCCCTACTGTTTAAAGAACCTGGCCCCAGTCATTGTTTTTGCAACAGAAAGAGAAGACAGGATGAATCCATTTCCTCTTTAGTCCCAATGTCAGAGGTCACCTGTGCTCTGTGACTCAAGGCCTCTTTATTTTCAAATCTTTAACAGCATCTCTGACTTTGCTTGCATCATATCTCTTGACTGACACTCTCCTTCTGTCTCCCAATTGTATTTTTATAAAGACATGTTTTTTTTTTCGTGTGTGTATGTGCGTGTGTGTATGTGTGTGTGTTTGAATGTTATGAGGACACAGTGTTGGATCCCTTAGAGCTAGAGTTACAAGACAGTTGTAAGCTACCCAGTGTGGGTGCTAGAAACCAAACCTGGATTATCTGGGAAAGTAGCAAGTACTCTTTACTGCTGAGCCATCTCTCTCTAGCCCTCTCCTCATTTTTAAGAATGCTTATAAAGGACTACAGGAATAAGTCAAGTCAGAAGACTCCTATTAGCTTTCACTGTCCTTTGCCATAGAATATATCATATTCACAGGCCCTGAGATTTGGACATGGGCATCATCAGGGGACAATAATGCAGCCTACATACCTACTAATTACTTAAAAGTACTAGAAGTAAACTCTAATTATATCTAATAAGGCTCAGAGGGAAGTATTAATCACTGAAACAAACATCATTATTTGTCTTTAACTTCGCAAGTATTTAGGGAATCAAAAAATGTAACTGAAGGCTTTCTATTTCTCATTTGTGGCAGATACACTAGTTGGCTAATTGAATACTAATTTTCAATCCCTCTCCCTTGCCTGGCCCTAGTACTTGGACTATAAAAGCTAAATACTTTCTGGCCTCCTAAGGATAGTCATATAATATAGATGTGCCAAACAAAATCTAAAAATTGCCTGAGGAAATGCTACTGCACTCCTGATAAAAGACACAGATGGTGCTGGCACCCCTTGGCCCCTTCCCAGTAGCTCTCCTGCTTGAGCATGGGACACTGCCAGTAATTCAAGCATCTATTTCACAATGATGGAGTACGTCCAAAGGAATCCAAGTGATACTAGTCCTGCCACTGTAAAACGTTGCAGCAACACCAGCTAGGCTGTGCCTCCAGATTACAGTTACATGAGGGGAAAGAAATTTTCTTCTTAAGTCACTATTTACATTGGCTTTACTGATATTTCCAACTGAAAGTTTTAACTGAAACTGTACTAAACATAACTAAACATAAACATCTTCCTTCAAAATGTAGTCTGTTTTATGAAAATTATATTCTGCTAACTGGGTTATACTTAATCTCTTATATGGCAACTATTAAAGTATAACATGATGCATTTTACTATAAATTATACAGATTTCATTCTAAGATATTTAGAAATTACCAAACATTTAAACAAAATATTAGTCATAATTCTAAGCAGGCAAAGATAAACTACTATTAATATAATTAGTATATTTACCCACATATTCTTACAAAATAGTTTTTAAGTCAGACTATATAGAATATACAGACTGAATTCAACTTCCACTCAGCATTATATTTACTAAGGGATTTTTCATATCATTGAATATTTTTCAAAAATAATCCCTAGAGCTTGAAATATTTCCTATGTGACTATTACATTGTTAATTAAGTAATTTTAACAATGATAGACATACAACAGATAAATAATTCAGAATGCATTACTGAGGATGAAATTCATTAGTCATAAATGTAGCTTAAGTGCTTTCTAGGAAAACAAAAGTCAATTTTTTAACCTCTGTGTGCCAGAGCGTCAGCCCCTTGTAGGTATTTACTGCTACTTCTTTGATTGTTTGATGACCTGATGAGTAAATACACTGTACTTAATCTATACTTTAAGATATGATATTTTTATAAATTCTTACTGGCAGTCAACAAAAAGAGAACAAATATTCCATAATTAGTAAGTCTTTTGTCCTTGACTCTGACAACTCACATACCTGCTTGTGACAATGATCACATCCTCAGAGATGGTGGCCATTTCCTTGATAGTGAGGTAGCACATTCTCCTCAGTGTTTGCTGAAAGTGTATTATAGATGGCAACAGATTAGTGTAAGAAACCTTTTAAATTAAGGAAGACTAGCAAGTATACTAAGAGAGATATTCTTGGCCCAGCAAAATGGTTCATTGGTAAAGGTGCTTTCCATCAAGTCTCAGTTTAATCCCTGCAATCCAAATGTGAAAACAGAGAACCAACTCCCACAAGCTGTCTACTAACACCCACATTAAAAACAAATAAGGAAAATATTCTTTAAAATATCTACCTCTAAAAAATCTATTAAAACTATATGTCTAAAAAAATATTCAAAATACTATTTCTTAAACACAAATACGTGATGTACTGATACTTGAAAAAAATAAAAGCAAAGCTTTAAAAATTCAATTACTCTTCTACAGAGATACAATTATTTAAAGTGATAAAGAAGATTTGTCTCAGAAATGTATTTTTAAGATTTTTAACAAATGTGTATGAAGAAAAATGCTAATTATATTTTCCCCTTTGGTAGTCTGAATGTAATTGGTCCCCATAGGCTCACAGGGGGTAGCATTATTATAAGGTGTGGCCTTCCTGCTGCCTGTGGATCAATATATAGAACTGTCAGTCCTTTCTCCAGTATCAAACCTGCATGCTGCCATGTTTCCCACCATGCTGATAAATGGACTGAGCCTCTGAACTGTAAGTCAGCTCCAATTAAACGTCTTCCTTTATAACAGTTGCTGTGGTCATGGTGTCTCTTTACAGCAATAGAAACCCTAACTAAGACTCCCCTCCACTTAGTGAATACCTATGTTTCTCTTAAAATAATTCGTTACTGGTTATGGAGACCCCAGGCTCCTTCAGTTTGTCCAGCCTCTTTCCAAGTATCTTCAATGTCTTTTAAGTATAGACACTCATATACATCAGACTCAATTTCAGAGTGTTACCTATAGAGAGAACCTGCTTGAAAAACCACTGACCCAAATATGAAAAGAAAATAATGGTTCTCAGTATGATTTAATACAAGAAAGGAAGGAAGGAAAGAAAGAAGGAAGGAAGAGGAGAGAAAAGAAAAAGGGAAGGGAACCTATATCAAGGAATGAAAAGTAGGAAGGAAAAGGTAGTAAAGACAAATTTGAATGAAAGAAAAAAGCTAAAAAAGATATATTTCTCTCTGTATAAAAATACATTTATATATATATATATATATAATCTCAAGGCTATGTTTACATATTCATATATACATAGTAAGAGTGTCTAAGAGTATCACATTTCCTATAAGCAGGGAAAAGGCAAAGATGATATTAGATTTTGATAAGTTCATGAAGCAATTTAGGATAACTGCCAGAAACTCTGAAAACATTATCTCACATGTCACTAGTGTTCTTCATTTTGTTGCCTTTTTTCTTCTTCAGCTCATTTCAGACTGTTTCTATCACTATCTTCAAGTACACTGATTCTCATGCTCACTTTTCTCTTTCTCTCTGGTATCCTCCCTAAACATTCAAACTTTCTTGGCTTTCCCAGCTCCACCCAACCTTCCCGATCGATGTCTGCAGTCTGCCTCTGGGCAGCTAATGGTACACTCCCTGGGCTCATTTTGCTTCCCTCTTCAGATCACACGCCTTACATGCTGGATACACTGTCTGAAAGCTGCTCTTTTGTCTGGTTCTCTAGTATTTATGATAGCAGGGTAAACCCAGCCCTTTACACAGCTGGAAACAAACAGAAATATGGTTCTTAACATCAAACGAGGAGTAATTCATACAATAAGACTCTTCTTTTCCCACCTCCTTTTCCACTGATGTACAACTGATTCCTAACACTGCTGTAGTAGAGCTAAAACTATAGCTCAACAACACAGTCTACACAATTGTGTTCCTTTATAATTACTTGTCTGGTTTTACCCAGTTCTGCAATAAATTTCTGTAAACATTGTGTTCTTCATTTACATATAGTAGTTACACAAAACTACATGTTTGTCTTTCTTAGGTTCTCTTCTCTTGCTCTTAATTTCTCACTCTCTTGCTTCACTTTTTCAATGGGTCTCACTTGTGACACAGGCTAGACTTGAACTCACCAGGTAGCCAAGAATAGCTTTAAACTTCTGATCCTCTAGCCTCTACCTGCCAAATGATTACAGGTGCATACCATCCTGCCTAGTGTAGGAAGGTCTGGATATTAAAACCCAGGGCTTCATGCATGCAAGTCAAGCACTCTACCAAATAAGCAATATCCTCAGCTCATCCTATGTTCCCCAAATTACTTTAGAAGACAAAAATTAATAGGGAAAAACAATCCATGAATCCAAAAACCTTGCTCCATTAAGATATTGGTAAGGTATAAGCCTCTAGACAAAACTCTAAGGAATATAAGAATATATAATTTAGCCATATCAAAATGATAGCTATCTCTACAGATTCTACAAACATTAAAAAGGATTATGAACAATTCTATTTTCCATCCTTCCACAAACACACACACACACACACACACACACACACACACCACACACGGGTCACGTTCTGTGGCTCTTCATCAGGAAAATCTCTTAATCATCTTCAAACTCTTCCATAAATGTTCCTATCCTTCTGTCTAATGGAAACTTTCCCTAAGGATTGCCCTGCAACTTTCTAAATGGTGGCTGTTTTCTTTCTCATGGCCTCCAGAAAAGGAAGCTATTCCCCACTGCCTTTTTAGTTATTGACACCTCTTTCTTTCTTTCTTTCTTTCTTTCTTTCTTTCTTTCTTTCTTTCTTTCTCTCTCTCTCTCTCTCT